TACCCTTTTTCAAATGTTATTTCACTAAGAAAAAAGCTTTTAGGAAATTAATTTTTAGTGGCTCAGTCTTCAGATCGTAATTATACTTTGTTTATACCTGTAGCTTTGACTTCGTTGCTTTTTAAGCTGCTCTGGCACAGTTTTATTTGTTTATTATAAAATATCTTTCAGGCTAACAAAATAATAATTACTTTTCAAAAATAATTAACCTTCTCTTATTTTTTTTTCTGTAGAACCATTATTAAATCTAATATGTGAACATCAAAGTGACAACTATCATCTTTCTAAAGAGCCCTCAGTTTTGCCTGTAGTCCAGAGGGTTCACGAACTGTGACTGTTTTAGTTTGTGTAGGTCATGTTTGTGTTTGAGCTCAACTAGTGGGGGCGACTGTTAACAGGTTAAGTGAACGATAATGATGACTTGATCTCCAAACTCCCACAGTATCTGATCATCTCCCTGTATTTTAACACCAGTGTGTAGAGTGACAGAATCTCCCTCCATCACTGACAGTGACTCCACAACATCTGCCATAACAACAAACACATTAGGAGAACAAACAGAAACGACTTAAAACAGAGATTAAGCTTGCAATTCTGCAAGTCATTTTCACATCATACACATTTAAATATATACGTACAGAACAAATTAAATGATTGATTTTCCTTATACTTATCACAAAAAAAAAAAAAAAAAACAAGGTGCAGATTTTCCATTAATAGTGTGCATCTTGCGGGTCAAAAAATAAGTCTGAGTACAAATGTAAAGGAGTATCAGAACATTCATTGTGTAAAAACACAATTTGTGTTTTTATGTATTTCTTTTTTACATTTTTTTTAATAAATTTTTTTCTGAAGATAATGCTTTCTGGATATAATCTCTCTACATATAATGTGTAAAATCTTTTTAATCATATTTAAAAATGAATATGCCATCTCTAGAGTGAAGCAACACCTTCATCCTGCACACCAATTTACAAAGGAATTTAATATGTAAAATATTTTAATTAGTTTTTTAGGATATAGAGAGGCACACACTGGTTAGTTAGACTATTAAAAATCAGTAAATATTATTTTGTTAAAATTATTATTTTCCTGCATATTTTCTCATGGAATATCCTGTTTCGCTAATTCACATTACAGAATTAATACAGATATGTCATTTCACTTTAAGAGCCTTCCATATTGTTAATGGTAAAATAAATTACTTGTACATTTCTAAATGATGATGAAAAAATATTTTGCCAGAATGCAATATCAAGGAAGAATGATGCTAGAAGAATGGTGTAGTTACTGTGTCTACCAGCAGGGGCTAACTGACCCATGCTGAAGAGCGAAACCGTGAGCCCTTGGTATTAACCATTCATTATAAATATTTAATACACCATGGTTGTGGAATCTAAGAAATAACATTTAAAATGCATTTGGAGAGTTTTCTGTATTTAAGCACTCTATGTTCTATATCCATTAAATTAAAAATGTTTTGAGGGGAAAATAAAAAGTTAACTCTTCTAAAGGTTCACTGTTACAGTTCCTCAGCAAATATTTATATATCCTTTACAAATGCTCTGAACATCTTGAGTGTTTATTAGCATACTGAAACCGAGTCAGTGTTCATGTAAAATAGAGATGCGCAGAATATTAATACAGGTCGTCAGCGCCCTCTAGTGTTTACTACAAAAAACACACGCGGAACCAGAGTACCCCCAAACTACCCTACGGTGTTGTCATCAGTCATTATTCACTATGTGATTTATCACAACATCTATTTATAAAGAATAAAACGTCTGTACGTTAAGAAACACTGGAGGTAAATAAATAAGATAACAGCAAATGGATATTTTCTGTTTCCGGTTTATATTGAAACCGAAAGTATTAATAAAATAACTTAAAAAGTAAATCTGACTCACCATCCGCGAACAATAAAAGCCAAAAAAGGAAGGGATTGTTCCTCATACTGATGTCACGCCTGACCGCATCCAAAGTGAATGATAGCAGTGATGCAGGTTAGTTATGATGGGCTTGTGGCAAACTGCCCAAGTCACGTGACTTCTGCGAAAGCGGAAGTATTGCGTCATACTCAGTGTCCCAAAGTGAACCTAGACTAGGTCAAAAGATCAAACATATTCACACAGAGAGACAGGTGTAGCTGCCTAATAACTGTAGACCTGCCAGAACAAAACAATCAAGACTTCACACATGCAAACTAGCTCGGTTTATCTGTAAATATTAAGTTCTTTATGTAGAAATCAGTTCAAAACCCACCTAACTGCTGGTCTTGATACATTGCCTATATTAGCATGTATCAATGAGCATTTTTTTATTTAACATTTTATCTATATGTATATGTATGTATGTGTGTGTACAGTTTCATAAATTCTGTACTGAGACCCGGCATTGCACATTGCATACAACAATTACATACAAGGTGTGCATGTGCTATTCGTTGATGATGACCAATATATTTCTGACACTAAGGGACAGACTAAAACTTGCTTTACATTTTCATTTTATGCAGTGCAATATATAAAACTGAATACCCCCTGTTTGTTTTACTGTGTAAACTTGAGTCAAGTCTGTTTTTTAATGTACTTCATTTAGCTTCATTTGTGAGTATTGAAAATGAGGGAGAGGTTCTGTTTATGTGTTCAGACAGGGTCTGTAAAACCAGTGAACAGAAGATGCTGAAAATAAACCACAGGAACTTAGAACAAAGATGTTATCCTTATAGATGACTTACATCCAATGAGCACAGAATCTTTATGTTAAAACAAGTGATCCACATTTTCTCATTGAAATTCAAAGTGAATGAAAATAAAACCAAAATAAAGAAACAAAACAAAAGAAAAAAACCCTGACAACATAAAAACACACACCCCATCACAGAATATGTGATTTTCTTTCTCCAGATTTGTAAGATTATATGTTTAGAGTGTATGAATCTCACAGTACTTCTCACAGAATGTCACAGATTTACTGCGAAATAAAAGCTGTCAAATATGTTTTCCTCCTTGCAAGAGAAAACATCTTGTTTGTACTGAAGGCATTTGAAACTCTAGCAGCTCTGTTTCTGAGTCAAAGTGAAATCTGTTGTGGTCTGAGGTTAATTTGATCAATTTATTGACAATTGACTCAAATTGACTTGTTTCTGTTGAGTGGACAAACATATTGCTCCTAAAAATAGTTTTACTATTGCTTGTGTGGCTAATTGACAGGTAAATGGGCAAAGACATTATTTTCCTTTAAGCCAGATTTCCACAAAACAGCTTCACTGTAGTGAGTACATCATCAACAGCAATATTTGATTTCTGTCAAGCAGGATTCTTAGCAGTTGTGCATCTGTGATAACCAACTTTTGTTTCCCTACACGGTAGAACATGCAGCACACCAGCAGATCAAACCAAACAGGTGCTACAACATTCTGGGAAGAAAAAACAACACAGCACAAGCATGAGAGTCAAAGGTATAACCACAGTTAAGACTATAAGGTAAAAATCATCATACTATAATGCATCATATCTATGGAAACAATAAGTGATAGTTTTAAGAGCTAAGCAGCTGTTGCTCTTATCACAGGCACGTTCATGTATAATCAGACTGAAAGAGTTATTTATTTTTTTTGTATCTAAACCTCAAGTTATCTACAGATTAAGATAACGCAGCAAGATGAAGAACGCCTGTCTGTCGTGTTTCATGAAATCGGATGGAGGTTTTTCAGACTTAAAGCGGTTTTATGTCAAACGGTTGAAGAAAATGATTGACAGGCTAGTTATGTTTTTCGTTGTTTTCTTATTTGGCGAGTTATAGATACATTTGACTTCTTTTTACAGAATTGTACTCTTTAGATCATTTAAAGGATTTATGTCATCTCGTCTTTTTCTCCAGTACACAGTAAAATCCTCAGAATTAAATCGCCACTGTTCAGTATACATTATCCCAATAATAAACAGTGTTAAAAAGTAACACTGAAGCAGTGTTGACGTTAATGAGATGATTAAGAGATCAATTAAGGGATGATTGCACATTACTGACGAACACCTGCTGTTAACAAGCAGAATTACTGTAGGAAAGAAGAACAACATGAACAGAAAGAAGTGAAGAGATTAGCAGAAACAGCTACAAATAACTTCCAGAGTCTTTTAGATGAAATCAACTGAGAATAAAAAACACTAAGCATCAAGATCTCAGCAGAGGATCATTAAACAACTTCAAAAAACACTTATTACTAAAAAGTTTGACACTATTGCAATGCATGAGTGTCATTGTACAAAACCCCCAGCATGCGTTGCACATGAATAAATCATGCAGCTGAATTGTCTCAATAACTTAACATTTGCTTTTATTTTTGCTGTTGCTTATGTTGCGACTTTATTGATTGATTGATCTGTGTTGAGCCAGATGAGACATGTGAATATAACAATATATTTTATAAAGGCAAGTAAAAGAGCAAATGAGCCACTCCTATTGATAAGACATTAACATCTTGCCTGATGGGCAATTTCAGTGACTTACACCGTTCACTCTGGCACCATAAAATATAGTCTCAGTTTTATCAAGTTTGATTGGCTTTATTGTGTGTTTGTACATAGATCCAAATGTATGCGCACAGCATAAACATAAACTTGCACATGAATGGCACAGAAATTATATTTTGCACCCATATCCCTATGCAAATAACCTGAAGATTACACTAAGAGAAAACACCAATTTCAAGCAACCAAACCCTGCTGGTTTACAGGGGATAGATTTTAAGCATATGTTGATTTCTTTTATATTTAACGAGAAAAAGTCACTAAATGGTTCTGTAACTTGAACATTTTAGACTATGTTGTTTACAATTTTTCCATTTGTTCTAGTAGTCAAGCATGAGGCAAAAATACATTAACCGTGATATGTCAAAAATATATTCATAAAAACAAATTAAACACTAATTAGTATGTCACGCAAAGCCTAAGTTTGTATTGTTATACAGTGATTATGAACTGTTGTTTCTTCTCATTTTGCTTGCTGATCCTGAGAGTGATTCACTTTATATTCACTGAAACCTGTTATAAAAACACAGAAAGAATCACAGTAAAACCAATAAACAATAAGAAAATAGTAATGAATAATTAATAGTTTCAATAATAAGAATGATAATATTAGCTAAAAGTTCCCCTGCACTTAGGTTCTCCTGCGCTATACAATAGGAAAATCTATCTTCTGTTGTCCTTTCAACAGTAATCATACTTAAATTACAAACAGAAACGTAGAAACAAAAAAAATCTCAACTTTACTTTTTCACTTCCTTCAAAGACTAAATGTGACCCTGGACCACAAAACCAGTCATACGGGTCAATTTTTTCAAAATTGAGATTTATACATCCTCTGAAAGCTGAATAAATAAGCTTTCCATTGATGTATGGTTTGTTAGGATAGGACAATATTGCCGAGATACAACTATTTGAAAATCTAGAATCTGAGGGTGCAAAAAATCAAAATACTGAGAAAATCGCCTTTAAAGTTGTCCAAATGAAGTTCTTAGCCATGCATATTACTAATCAAAAATGAAGTTTTGATATATTTACAGTATAGGGAATTTACAAAATATCTTCATGGAACATGATCTTTACTTAATATCCTAATGATTTTTTGGCATAAAAGAAAAATCGATAATTTTGACCCATACAATGTTTTTTTGGCTATTGCTATAAATATACCCCAGTGACTTAAGACTGCTTTTGTGGTCCAGGGTCACAAATCATTTTTAGCTCTTGCTGTGTGATTTTCATGAAATACTTACACCTTTGCCTTGGTTGCTTATACTTCTTGTAGCAAAAAACACAGTTACAGCCCAAACCACCAGACCAACACCAGCACCACATATCCCTGATGCAGCACCGGACTGAGCTGTAATGATAAAGAGAGACAGTCATTAGAGTGAATGTGTGTCTGATCTATAACAAACACTAGAAACATCAGCACTATATAACCTGACTCACAAAGCACAAATCTAAATGAGACTTTCCTTTTGAAAAACTTGAAGTACTCACCACTGACAGTAACACTGAAGCTCTTCTGTATGGTATATGTGCGTTTGATGATCTTTATCTGATAAAGTCCGGAGACTTCAGTCTTGGTGTTGCTGATGGTCAGATCTCCAGTTTGAATATTCAGATGCAGTCTGTCTGTAAATCTCACATCATGTTCATTATATATTATTCTTCGACTCTCTCTGTCAGTTTTTACTACGGAAGTGTTTTGAGGTCCAAACGTCCACTGGATCACATTATCTGCTGTTATATTAGTAATGCGAGTCTGTAGAGTGACAGGATCTCCATCCCTCACTGACATTTTCTTCACCCCATCGAAACTAAACACACCTGGAAAACAACCAAGAAACGTTTTTAAAATGTTCGATTAAATGAATTAAATGAATACTCTAGCACTCTCTATTCTAATTCTATTCTTAAAAAATAAAAAAACTCACCCCTTTTAGACTTGCACTCTATTCATTTACTAACTGCTTGTTTTCTTAAAAAAAAACAAAACTAACACTAGCTTGTTATTTTTTATTCTAGTTTTCTTTTTATTTATTATACAATTCACAAAAGCAAAAAAGGCCTCTAACACTAGCTTGCTCTATTCTTTTCTATTCTATCTGTTTTCTTTTAATTTATGAATTAAAAATAATGCACTTGCATATTGCTCTTTTGTTGATTTTGATTGCTTCTATTGTCCTCATTTGTAAGTCACTAAATGACTAAATGTAATTTTTTATATTGAGATTCATTATTGCTAGATTAAATAGTCTATTTATTTATTTATTTTACTGTAAACAGATACAACAAATCGAATTTTATATAAAAAAGTTAATGACGGATAAAATAGAAAAACAGTATTTATGCATATATGATTCAAACTGATGAAAGTTACTGCCGGGGAGAATAATGACCCAGTAAACATACACAAATATACAGTGTATATATATATATATATATATATATACACATACAGATTTTTGGTGGCATATAATTACAGATATATTTTATCAGTTCAATCTTTAAAAGCAGCAGTATTTCAAATGCATCCGCGTTATTGTGATCACAGTATGATTGGTAATGTATTCATCCTCTAGGGGGCGCTTCAGGCTCAGAAAGACTTGCTCAGAAAGAAAAAAAAAGACGAACTGTCAGAAAATGTCCAATAAATTTTCAGGAAAAAAAAAACCACATTCAAATAGAGCAGGGATTCACAACCTTTTTTTCTGTCAGCCTTCGATCAAAAATAGCCTATTTTCTTGAACTAGGCCTACCCGTGAAATGTAAAGTTAATAGCCTGTTTCCGTCATTAAACAGCATTGCTCCCTGTTCTCTGATGTTGGTTGATGGCCGTATTCCATGCAGTCAAATAAATAAAATAGCCTATTTCACCTTCTCTGTATGTGTTTTATTTGGATTGTTTTTATTTTAAAACTGTTTATATTTTTGTAAATGTATAATATATAAGTGTTCAATATATTTGTAAGTGTAAACATTTTAATGATTGGCACCAGAGAAGCAAACTGAAACTACCCCACCCTACCTAAAAAAAATATATATATATATTTTTTTTTTCTATATTAAATGTTGTTTAGCCTAGCCCTACTAGTAGTGTTTACAGAATAACATGACTCTAAAACCGTTTAACATTTATAGAAAGTTTAGTCTACTCACCACTGATATTAATACGCAATTTCCTGTGTAAGATCATACTGCTGGTGTTGATCTCCACTTTATAATCTCCAGACTGATCTCTTCGGATGTTTCTGATGGTGAGTTCTCGGGTTTGATCGTTCAGATGAATGTTAGGCCTACTCCATCTCGAGTCAGCAGCGCTATTTAATCCATTAACTTGCACGAGACCATCGCTGGTTCCTACATTTGTTTGTTTACCTTTACTGCATGCTTTTAACATTAAACCCCTAATTAACGTTGACAAGCAATATGACATTAGAAAGGCTGAAGTCTCAAGCTTCAGTATTTATGGCCACAATGTCACAGCCACAACCTCATTTTAATTCGTATCAAGAGATCGCAACAATACAGGTAACATTGAATCTGATAGTTCTTAAGTATTTTTGTCTAGTGAAGATAAATCAATCATACAAATGTATGCGTACTTTTAACGGCAATGATCTAGTATAAAATCAGTTAAAACTCTTTAGTACAAAAAGTGTGAATTTAAGAGCAATATCAATTAATTCTGCCTAATTTATGTAACAACTTAAGAATTACAATTCCTGTCATTTTTACACAAAAGTATGCACTCTAGGAGGTATTACAGAGGTATTATCACGTTTGCTAGGGTCTCACGTACAGATTAACCCCGCCCTCCGTGTCCTTTCTGCAGCGCTGATTGGTCAGTCATTCAGAACCATCTCAGAGTCAGAGTCGCTCTGGATGCTCAAACAAACAGATCAATTATATCTCATATTTAGTGGTGCCTCTTCAAATTTGCATTATATTTTGTTCACACTTGTGCCTTAAATGTGATCGCTTTTTTAAGCTGCTCTTGCACATTTTCATATATTAATTCCTGAATATCTTTTATTTTTAAATTATGGATGATTATGTTCTAGAGTGTTTAGTCTTCTCTTACTATTTTTCTGTATTAATATAATGAATTCTGACCACTGTACAACAAACGGACAACTATCATCTTTCTAAGGAGACATTAGTTATGACTGTAATCCAAACGGTTGATGAACTGTCACCATTTTAGTTGGTGTAGGTCAGGTTTGGGTTTGAGCTCAACTAGTGAGGGCGACTGTTAACAGGTTAAGCGATCAATGCGGATGACTTGATCTTCAAACTTCCACAGTATCTGATCATCTCCCTGTAATTTAGTAACACCAGTGTGTAAAGTGACAGAATCTCCCTCCATCACTGACACTGACTCCACAACATCTGTCACAACAACAAACACATGTGGAGAACAAACAGAATAAGTTTAAAACAGAGATACTGCTTAATGATGAAAGTAATTTTCATATAATAACACTTGAAATATACATGTGCAGAGGACTCTGGGAATGATGGTACAACTAGTTTTTTTTTTTTTTATTGCTTGAAAAATACAAAATTCCAGAAAGGGTTAAAACACACCTAATCTTTTTTTTAAATGTTTATTATTATTTTTTTTTAAAGCTTTTAATTTCAGAATGTCCCTAACAGTAACCTAGTCTCATGTGGTTAAAAAGGTGACAAATACATTAAAAAAAGGGAAATGAATTCAGTACAACATTTATTTTTTTAACACATGGAAACATAGGCTATGTTTCTATGTAGACATTCTATGTTTTTTTCTCTCTTTTTAAAGTTGACAAAAATAACAAACCTCACTGGATAATGTGAAGAATTTGTAAAGAAATGACTTACATTTTGCTCTGAATTAGCATTAGCACACTACACTCATTTTAGCCAGTTGCTGCTGTTGTTTTTATATCTTCAGTAAATAAATAAATAAATACAAATAATCATTCCACATCATCTAAACTGTCCACAGGTGACTGACATGAGTTACTCACCATGGACAGTAACTTGGAATGTCTTCAATTTTGCATCTATGCTCTTGATGTCTACACTATAATGTCCAATGTGTTCAGTTCTGATGTTTGTGATGGTCAGAGATCCAGTCTGTTTGTCCAGCTTCAGTCTGTCTTTGAATATCGCACCGGGACCATCATATGTAGAGGGATGTCCATCTGCTTCATTTATTCTAGCAATGATTTCATCTCCAAACTTCCATATTATCTTACTATCTCTCGGTACTTCAGTAATATCAGTATTTAGAGTGAGATAATCTCCCTCCATCACTGACACTGACACTTCATCTGCTTCAACACCAAACACACCTGCAGAACAAACAAAAACAGTTTATATATATAATATTGTAAACATACACAATATTGTAATATTTGTGCTCTAAATACAGGATATTAATGACAGCAAATTCTCAGGCAATATACTGTTTGTTTGCAGCTCTATTCCTGTATTTGTACTGGGAAATGACAATGTTACACTATATGTGACGAGTTTGATTAGTTCTCTAAAGTGACCCTTTTCATTCACGATGTATAGTTCAGATGGAATATTATGAGCTCATTTAAGGTCAGTCCCTGAACTAACTATATTCTTGCAGAATGCTACATGCTCTTGTGCAATGATACATTACATTTTGTGTCTCAGTTAATCAAAAGCAACACTAATCACCATAACAAAGACGGCACAAGAGATCTGTCTATTTGTTTATGAAAGAGACAAGTAGAGAATCCAGAATTTAATCTGCATTACTTCTGGGCTCTGCATTATTTAGATTTAAAAATACGTTTTTTTTGTTGTTGTTTTTTTCATATCCTCTTTGCAAATATCTGTTTACCATAAAACTCTCAAAAAGTCACTTTACCGAGCTTGATCTCAGTCCCTTAATACACTTTTCTTTTCTTTTTTTGCCAGCAGTCTGGTGTATTTACGAAATGCAGCCGTTTCTTACAGTTTGTAAGTAGTGTCAGCAGTTGTTTTGCAAGTTTATAAATCTACCTCCGTTTTTCACCATATCAGTAATGTAAGTAAACAGATTTGTTGCATTGTGTCTCTTGAAAATTAAGGCTAATGTGGCTTGGAACTTCTACAAGACAGCATGCAAATTGTAAAAAAGAATGCGGTATGAAAATCAAATGCAAAAGAAAACATGCAAAAAAAAAAAAAAACATGTATAAAAATTAGTAATATTCATTTAGACAGCCTGAAAACATACACAAAAAAAATCCAATCTTATTCTTAAGGTTAAATGTCTCCGATTTTTTT